ATGTAGCCCTGGCGAAGCACATACAATGCAGCTAAGGAAAGGATCGTTCGCATCGACTCGATGATCCTGACTACGGTCAACTCCTTAACTGACTGGGTTCTATAGCCTTGGATGGCAACCAATCTAAGAGAAGAAAAACTCTGAATTCAAAAATGTATGTAGCCCTGGCGAAACACATAGAAGCTAAAGAAAAGGATCGTTTGCATTGACTCGATGATCCCGACTATAGTCAACTCAGCTGTCTGGGTTCAATAGCCTTTGATGGCAACCAATCTAAGAGAAGGAAAACTCTGAATTCAAAACTGCATGCAGCCCTGGGGAAGCACATACTATGCAGCTAAAGAAAGGATCGTTCGCATTGATTCGATGATCCCGACTACGGTCGGCTCCTTTTTTACTAATGCTTTTAATTGCGCCTAACCAGTATACTTATCTTGGGTTTTATTCTAACAATCTTTTCGGCTCTTGTACCCTCCTACCTTCTTCGGCTGTATGTCGTCGTAGTCTTCTCAGAATTTTGCAGCGAAGACTTTATTTCGGACCACCGAAGTAGACTGTTCTCGTTTTCCACTTTGCAAGCGGCGGTGAGTAACTCATATCAGTTAAAACTCACCGGCCTTATTCACCCATGTGTCACGTGTCCGTTTGGCTTGGTTCAAAATTCCGAGAAGGTTGCCAAGTACGTTAAAAAACCTGAAGAGGGCCGAAGGGTAAAATGACAGTAAGGTTGTGAGTATAACAACTAAAACAAGCAAATTGTCTGAATAGTAAGTAAAATAAGAATAATTTATCACAATGGTTCCTTACGACATTGATATTTGAGTTGGTTGATTTTACCACATGTCAATCTTCACCGAGTTATTTTATGTTGAAATAAGTTTTTTTACATTATTACTGTTACTATTATTATTAGTAGTAGTAGCAGTAGTAGTAGTAGTATTACTTTCCGGTCATTTGAACAGGGGGAGGCGGTTATCGCTTGTTCCTTGTTCAGGATCAGGTTTCCTTTCCTTCTAAAACATTTTCATTCTCTTTCATTCCCAGTAGCCGCTTGCATGTTTGGGGACTTTTTGCCTTACTAGTGGAGAATTGACTAAAAAATAAGTCTTAGTAGTTGCGTCTATAAGTCTTTTTTGTTTCGCGGATAGGAAAATATCGACAGTTTATATTCGATTCTATAAGCATTTGGTAAATATTCGATTCTACAAACATTTGGTAAATATTCGATTCTATAAGCATTTGGTAAATATTCGATTCTCCAAACATGTGCTAAATATTCGATTCTACAAACATTTGGTAAATATTCGATTCTATAAGCATTTGGTAAATATTCGATTCTACAAACATATGGTAAATATTCGATTCTATAAACATTTGTAAATATTAGATTCTACAAACATTCGGTAAATATTCGTTTCTATAAACATTTGGTAAATATTCGATTCTATAAGCATTTGGTAAATATTCGATTCTACAAACATATGGTAAATATTCGATTCTATAAACATTTGTAAATATTCGATTCTACAAACATTTGTAAATATTAGATTCTACAAACATTTGGTAAATATTCGATTCTACAAACATTTGGTAAATATTCGTTTCTATAAACATTTGGTAAATATTCGATTCTATAAGCATTTGGTAAATATTCGAGTCTATAAGCATTTGGTAAATATTCGATTCTATAAACATTTGGTAAATATCCGATTCTACAAACATTTGGTAAATATTCGATTCTATAAGCATATAGTAAATATTCGATTCTACAAACATTTGTTAAATATTCGATTCTACAAACATATGGTAAATATTCGATTCTATAAACATTTGTAAATATTCGATTCTACAAACATTTGTAAATATTAGATTCTACAAACATTTGGTAAATATTCGTTTCTATAAACATTTGGTAAATATTCGATTCTATAAGCATTTGGTAAATATTCGATTCTAGAAGCATTTGGTAAATATTCGATTCTACAAGCATTTGGTAAATATTCGATTCTACAAGCATTTGGTAAATATTCGATTCTATAAGCATTTGGTGAATATTCGATTCTATAAACATTTGGTAAATATTCGATTCTACAAGCATTTGGAAAATATTCGAATCTATAAGCATTTGGAAATCATTAGGACTAGGAAACCGCAACGAACGCCTCCAATTGTGAACGACCAATGACCAGACAATAGCTAACCCTCGGTTCCAATAATATCTAATACGATTATGAACATGGAAAAGCCCAAGAGGAGAAACTAAAAACCAAAACGACTACATAACTATTAACAAGAGACAGGAATGCAGTTGTTCATTGCAAAAGCTATGCAAGTGCCGACTGTGGAAGCAAGAACCTCCTTGTTCTAATAAACTAAGAATAAAACTACGGAAAATGAAGAAGCCTAACGCAGCATCCAAATTGCAATACAACAGACTCCTGAAGGGAAAATATACGAAGAGTGTGAAAAGAAGATACGAAAGACAAAATGGAAATGAAAATTCGAAATAATGAGACACACTAAGAGAAACTTTAGTGACATCAGCAAACGACATCATCCCAAAGGAAAATGAACGACGAAAAAGAAACGAATGGACCACAAGTGAGATTCTTGATATGATGTAAAGGAGGCAGAAAACAATGCCAAGACACGGAACGGAATACAGAAAAACTACACAGTGAAATAAGGAGCAAATGCAGACAGAGCTAAAGAAGAATGGTTCAACAAAAAAACTTGCGAAAATAGAGAGAATGAGTAAAACAGATGAAGGAGATATGCATAAAAAATAGAACTAACAGGACAAAAGACAGGCTCATCAACAGACTGCATAAAATCCAAGAACGAAATGCTCATATTAGAGAAAGAAAATAATCTTCAGCGCTGGAACGAATATATTGGAGACGAAAGAGAACAACCGGGGATGCACGGGCCGGAAATATTAAAAACCGAAGTGATAGCTGCACTGGCCACATTGAACAGAAGCAAAACGGCAGGGCCAGGCAGAATTATAGTAGAGATGCCAACAGGCTTAGATGATTTCGGCATAGACAAGATTACAGAAACAATAAATTAAATGTAGAACAGTGGTGATATACCGGAAGACGTATGCAGATCTATTTTCATAGCACTGCCTAAGAAACCAGGCGCAAACGAATATGAACTCCACCGAACAATAAACCTAATAAGCCACATATCAAAACTCATCACCCGAATTCTGATGAATAGAGCGCGCAGCAGAATCAGACCAGAGATAGGACAAGAACAGTGCGGGTTCGTCATAGACAACGGAACAAAGAACACAATATTTATGCTCAGAATGTTATTTGAAAGAGCAATACAAATGCAGAAGGGCGTGTACCTGTGTTTTATAGACTACGCAAAGGCGGTCGACAAAGTGCATCACAATTATCTGTTAAACTGCTCAGCGACCTTGACATATTCAGAAAAGTCATTTGAATAATCAAAGATATATACTGGAAGCAAACTGCCTGTATACGGTTAAAAATGAGTTCAGAGGATATGCAAAAACAGAAAGGAGTGTAAGGCAAGGATGTGTCTTCTCACCGGACTTATTCAACCTATACAGCGAGGCAATTCTGGGAGAACTAGAAATTCTACCAGGATTCATCATTAGCAGCCACGGTCTTAACAATATAAGATTATCCTGACAACGGATAGAGGGAAAGGAGAACAGAAGAAAATAACGCGTGACATACTTGATGGGCTTGAGCAAATGGATCAGGGTCTGGGAGAAATATCAAAAGAAATTATTAAGAGCTATAAGGAACAGGAGGATGTGGAGAGCCATTATCGCTTATATTTGAGTCTATAAAGCATTACTTTGGTTGGGGAATAAGTAAATATATTCGTTTATATTTGAGTCTATAAGCATTTATTTGGTCTGGTAATAAGTAAATATTGGTCGTTTGTATTTAAGCCTATAATCATTTACTTAAATAGGGGATAGGTAAATATTGATTGTTTATATTTGAGTCTATAAACATTTGGATCGGGAATAGGTAAATATTGGTCGTTTATATTTCAGTCTGTAAGCATTAATAGGTAAATATTTAGTTCGTAAGCACTTCATGGCGATTTTGTTTGGGGAAATTGAAGTATTTTACGCTCCGTCGATACGAAATGATGATGTTGAATAATCGGAATAGACTCCTAAACGGAATAAACTTTTTTTTTCATTTCTTCTTCTTCTTCTTCTTCTTCTTCTTCTTCTTCTTTTCATTTTATCTTTTTTTTTTCACTTCTTCTCCTCCTTCTTCTTTTCTTTTTCTTCTTCTTCTTTTCACTTCTTCTTCCCCTTTTTCTTTTTTCACTTCTTCTTTTCGTTTCTTCTTCTCCTTCTTCTTCTTCTTCTTCTTTTTCACTGTTTTCTTTTTCTCTTCTTTTTCTTTTTCACTTCTTTTTTTTTTCATTTCTTTTTTTCACTTCTACTTTTTTCTCTCTTCTTTTTCTTCTCGCGCGATTGTGACTGACAAAATTATAGATATTTGATAAAATTATTAACTGTCTTTTTATTCACGTCTAAATTTATTGAATAAGGAGTTACCATTTACATTATTTGCAGTCGGGTTATTGTCCTCATCTCTGTTATTATTATCACTAAATTTCGGTCGTTGTATTCTCCGGCAGTCTTCAGGTGTCTGTCGATCAAGTTATATCCCCGAGATGATTTAAGCATTGTTTCGTGAATTTGGTGACATTTTTTTTTCCAATCCCTGAGTCAAGTAACATGGAGTTCTTACAAAGTGAGATATGGCCAAAGAAAGGAACATATTCTACCCCCAGAGATTAAATAAAACGTTCAGTTCGAATTTGTCTGATAGTTACCTGAGTCGACAGACACCTGAAGAAGACCGGATGGCACAACAAACGAAATGTTGTAATAATAACATCAAAGAGGATATGAAAATAATGTTTTATATTTGTTTATTATCCGTAGAGTTCGTATTCATTTCTTTTTTTTTTTTATCGTTACAGGTAAAATGGCTGAAAAGAAAAAGAAACGTCCGCCGCTGACGCGGGCGTGTACGGAAGTAAACGAAAATACCCTGAAGGCATTGGGACAATGCCGGCACCCGTCGCTTTATAAGAAAAACCACACCAAACCAGCTAGCGGACCCGAAAGCGCAGTTACATCAGGTCTCCGCCGAATCGAGCGGGCCCGAAGCAGTGTCAAGGGGCCCAGGCCTGGAATGAACGATCCTTATATGGATTTGGGACCTTCGAATCTCTCACGTCATCGCTCCTGTCCGCATTTGCTTGACGAAGACGATTCTGGCGATGGAGGTGGCGTAGACGGAGGAGCTGGAATAAAAGTTGATATTGAGGAATACCGCAGGCCGTTTGATTCTCTGGATGAAGACCACAAGCAACAAATCGGTTTCACAACCGCCCTGGCCCCCGACCGCACCTCAGCGGCCGCGGCCGCCCGCCGCGAATTCGGAATGGGACGAGACCCCTTTTATTCGAATCAAAAAGTTTCAGACACTTACGGAGACTGGCCCGGAGACGATCACGGGCGCCAGCGAGAAAACAAGAAACCCTTTGGGGAACCCCCTTTCTCGGCGAAAGTGCACTCTTCCTCGTCTTGTATGTCTCCGACGGAAGGAATGTTTCGCTTCGACCGCATCTCAACGAGCGTCTCGGATCACTTCTCGGACATTGACGAGCCTGACTCGGACTTACTGCTGGAGGAACGAGTGAGCGATTCGGAAGATGTGGAAGTCTCCTCTGGACGCGAAGGAGACTCCAAGTGCAACCAATGGCTGCAGGGCTTGCAGCTCTCGCAGACGGACAGACTGAAATCTAGAAGCCACTTGCGACTGCCCCCTGTATGATGAAATCCCCTTAAATCACCACCAACATGCCTCTGTTTACGTCTGCTGCTTTTAATCCTAACGTTTATTCGAAATATTTTGTGTAATACATTCTTTTGCTTGTGGCGGCGGCTGCTGCTGCTAAAAGCTGTACCATAAAAAAAAATTAAACATGATGATTAGTCAGTTTGTTTTTTTTTCCTTAAGTTTTATAGATGGCGCTGTAATCCTATAAAAAAAAAAAAAAGAAAATGGCGGCCATCAAAAATAATGTTACTAGAAATGGCGGGAAAAAAATTGTTGGGGAAAGTATTTTTCCGAATGAGATCATAATTTAAAATGGTCTCGTTTTTACTTTCTCCTTTTTTACTCTATTTACTTGTCTCTTTATTTTCTTATCCTTCATCTTTGCTCTTTCTTTTTCTTCTTCTTACTCTACCTACCTCTCCCCTTGTTTCTCTATCCTTTACCTTTATTCTTTCTTTCTTTTTTTTCCTTTTACCTCTTTTTCGACGTTTTATTGGTCGTTCTCTTTTACCAACATTTATTCTCTTTCCTTTTCTTTCTCCATTTCGTGTTTTTCTTATTTAACTATTTCTGTCCCTTTACTATTTGTAGCAGCCCTTATATAACTTATAATTAAAAGCAATGAAGAAGTGATCTCAAAGACAATAAGTTCATTACCCTTTGAAATAAACTGATTCTCTATGTTATAAATATGTTGTTAATTAAAATATACCGCATATATATATATATATATATATATATATATATATATATATATATATATATATATATATATATATATATATATAAAAGATAAAAGGAAAAACTATTCTTTACCGATGCGTTTCGTCTCTAGAAGGATTTTATTAATGTAAATGCCTTTCCTTTTCAAGGCAATATCTTTTCCTTTGTCTTTATTCATATTGTCTTTTTACTGATACATTTGATTTATATTTGATTTTTACACACACACACACACACACACACACACACATATATATATATATATATATATATATATATATATATATATTATATATATTGGGTGTACAAAATTTTATTATGAAAATAAAAATGGCAAGACGTGCTTTACCATTCATGATTAAAAGAAAAAGAGGAAAAAAATTGACCAGCCGACCGGTTTCGCCCTCGAATTATATATATATATATATATATATATATATATATATATATATATATATATATATATGGAACCGTCATATAGCCTGACGTGCTTTACCGATTGAGCCACAGATTATATATAAATTTATAATATATAAATTGTGTGTATTTAGGCAGCATTTTTTCATTAATCCATGTTTCATTAAATAATATAGACAAGTTTTGTCTATCTATTTTAAGTAAATTCCTTTCATATTATCGAATAAGCTTTTTAGCATTATCATTGAAACACGAAAGAAACTCACTATGTTGATACATGTTTTTATTGTTAATCCTGTCTAAGCTTTCGGCTTACATAAGCCATCATCAGAGATTACAAGTACAGTGCAATAAATTAAATAATAAATTAAATATAAATTATATAACTAATCATCTATATATATAACTATATATATATATAGATGCTTTATATTCGTGCATATAATAACATAATATGTACACATATATGAAATATATAATCATGTATTTGCACATATTGTACTCATAAACAAGATGGGCGAGAGGCAAACCAATGAAATATATGAATGCTTATTCTAAAATATACTCTTACTAATTTGTAAAGTACTCGTAGCGAAATATGAAGAACAATCTTGCATGAATATATAATAAACAATAAAATCAAAAAGTCACCTCGTAAGGAGGAATAGCTTCTTTTGGGGAGACGAAGATATCGGTCGTCTATTTTATCAACCTGTGGACTGAGTTCGTGTCAGAAATAGAAATTCAACTGTGAAAAAAAAAACAGTCGTAAAACTAATACAGAATTTATTAATTTCAATGTTTCAGTCAGACGAAAGGCATGAGACAAGGGTCAGGGTAATATAGAAGATATTTGTCTTAAAGGGAAGAAATTTTATATTAACCTTATGACATTAACTTGGGGTTATATGAAGAATGAAATATTAATTCAAAATTAAAAGATGAATAAAAAGGTCGTTTAAAAATAACTTTAAATTATATATAGATAAAAAGATATAAGGGATCAATGCAATCTGACTTGAAACATCCAAACGGATGAATTCTGTATTATTTTTCCAACTGTTTATTTTTTAAATGAATTGGTGTAGAAGATAGTTAAAAGGTCGGGGGCCTTCAAAGGTCAATTTATCTATTCAAGGAAAAAAATCAGGCTTACAAAGAAGAAACATTATAGATCAAAGGGAGGGTTGTGGACAGGCAGTGTGGAACGTATATAGAGTTTTATTAAAGTTTTGACTTAATAAGTCTCAGTAACCACTTTTTTCTTTCCTTTTTCCTTTCTTTTTTCTTTTTGAAAGTGGATAGACTCCGCTGTAACACAGAAATAATAGGAAAAGCAACACAGAAATCTAAAGACATATTAAATAAAAATGGCAACATGAAACAGTTCAAACAATAAGAAAAGTTAAACAGAAATACATTGTCGAAAGCATACGGCAGAATATCAATGGCGCTTTCGTATGAAGATGAGAAAGAAGGGGGTTTTACTAGCCGAGAATAACGAGCTTATATGATATATATGAGATAATCGATAACGATATATATTTTTATATATCAAGAACAGTATTGGAAAATTATAAGACAAAATGCCAAAAGTTTACTTGTGACGCATTTCATCCCATGAACTAACGCATGAAACGTCTTCCATTTTGTCTTCCAATGTCCCATATACATATATATATATGCACATACATATATATATATACACGCACATATATATATATACACATACATATGAAGAAAAAATGTTTCTTCATACTGTCGGATCTATATCCAAATATTTGCTTACACACAAATATATATATATATATATATATATATATATATATATATATATATATATATATACTAGAATGAATCCTAAGGAGCCAGGCAAACCTACCTAGATTTCACCTAAACGGATGTTCAGGGTAAACTGGATTTATTCGAGTTTATCGCTCTACTTAGCATATTGAGCACTCTACGTTTTAGTCTTACTACTCGCTTGGTTTTTTATTTTCTTTGGACTAAAGATTTTAAGCACTTGGCGATTTGTTCCGTCTTGTTCTGATGATTTTAGTTCTTTCTTTTTTTTTATTTCCAATTTTTCCCTCGGGTGCCGATTTGTCCTGGCATATCTACAAGTTGAGCTATTCGAGGCTTTCCAAACGAGTACTACTATATATATATATATATATGTGTGTGTGTGTGTGTGTGTGTGTGTGTGTGTGTGTGTGTGTGTGTGTGTGTGTGTGTACGTGTGTGTGTGTGTAGAGAGAGAGTGGATTCTCCTATCGGGAAAGATAAATTAAGGTTAGCATTTGACTGCCTTTTGTTTTACAATTATGCATGCCACCAGGGGCTATTGTGGAGAAAAACAGGTAAGAGAAAGATGTATTTAATTTGTACTTTCTTAAGTACGATACTAGCCCAGCGTTGCCGCGGGCGACAAAGATGAAATTTGTTAAAGCAGGATTTTGATGTCGTCTCTGCTTCAGAGCTTGACGAAGCTGGTCACGGTGCTACTGTCTACTGTCTTCAAAACCCTTTAACTAAATGAAACGTGTCTTACGCCACTCCTTTAGGTTTGATGCTTGGGCTTCCCAGGATTTCAGATCAAAGTTGAGACGTTTCAAGTTATCTTTCAATTTGTCTTTGTATCGTTAGAGTGAACGTCCAACTGAACGTTTGGGGTTTGGTAGTTGTCTATACCGCACCTTCTTTGGAAGCCTATACTCATCCATTCCCACAACATGACCAGCCCACCTAAGTTGTATCTTTGATAAAATGGTTTCAGTGCTGTGAGGTTTTACATTTCTTCAGTATTGCACTATTCTTGACACTGTCATTCCATTTTATATCACATATGGCACGAAGACAGCGCACGGGAAAGGCGTCAAGTTGATTTATATGCTTGCGGTACAGGGTCCAAGTTTCAACACCAGAGAGAAGGGTTGAGAGAACGACTGTATATGTCGATCTTTATTCTGAGAGACGTCAGAAGGTATATTTAGGCACCAAGGATTATTTCAAACATGTCTGGTTGAATAATATCGACAAGTTCTGTCTATTAACTTTTTCAGATTTCCGAATTAGTTGGCTTATGTAATCGGTAAATTTACCTAAGTTCATATATATTCGTAAATAAAAAAAGAAAATGAACAGACACATCTCGCCCATATTATTCAACGAAACATACTGATTTTAAATATATATGTATATATATATATATATATATATATGTGTGTGTGTGTGTGTGTGTGTGTGTGTGTGTGTGTCGTTGAAAATGATAGACAAGCAATATTAATTAATCTTATTTAGTTTTTCCAGCATTTTTCCCGTTTGGTGGGAGCAAGGGAATGCAAAAAACTGTTCGTATTGTCCATTGTTTCAAGCGCTTTCGGCCATATCTTTAGTCACTTTAAATGTGGCTGCTTTTGGGGTGTTCTTAATTTATCTTCGTTTTTGACTGTATAAGATACGGTCTTGTATTATTTTGAATACTAGCAGGAGCGTTTATTCCGAGCCTTCGTATGTTGAGTGCGGCTGGAATTCAAGGGAGTGTCTTTCTATTGTTTTAAAAAAAAAACTTTCAACATCCCATGACCACTGTTGAATAAAGTGTGGCTGATAGAAAACAATAGAAAGACTCACTTGAGAAAGCTCACTTGAAGCTCACTTGAATTCCAGCGGCGCTCAAATTCGAAGGCTCGGAATAAACGCTCCTAGTAGTATTCAAAATAAGACAAAAATACATAGGGTCAAACGTGAAGAGAAATTAAGAACACCGCAAAACAAACCGAGAACTGCCCGAAAGGGCTTGGAATGATGGACAATACGAACAATTTCTGCACTCTCTTTCTCCCACCAAACGG